TCCTTCCCAAGGTTTGATAAGCCAAACATCGCTGAGCAGGTACGACACTTCTGGCCAAGCGTGCTAGCTCGGCAATGGTATAACCAGCAGCCTCGGGCGCCTCTCCGTGGTGGTGCAGGCCTTTGCTTGAAGCAATAGAGCGGCTCACTCTTGGAGGAAGAAAACGACCACGGAAATCGAATCGCAGAGCTGATACGGAAATTTCAGGGTGTGGGTAATATGTCGAGTCCTTATCCGCAGTGCTGTCTTCGCTGGGCAAGGGTGCCATCCAAGCAAGCTTACTCGGGTCCGCAGGGAGTTCCGGGAAGTATTTTTCATGAAGAGTCGCCAGGAAGTTGGGATCGGAAGGATCAAGATCTGGAAGGCTGGGCGGCACAGGGAAGTGCGCCGTCTTCGGCAGCTCTGTAATAGGGAATAAATCTGCTGGAATTTGGGGGGGGGCTTTATCTTCGTCGTAATCATCTGCAATCTTTTTCGACGATAGTCCTGCAGATCCTCTGCCATATGAGCCTGAGACAGATTTAGGTCGCTCTTTCAAAGGCTGCTCATTCTGCGGCTTTTCGGGATCCGATATCTCGATCGCGGGAGGATTGCTCAAGGGCATTTCGGCTTGCACTGTGGTCTTGGTCACGTCATCCGGCAGATCAAACGGTGAAGGCCCAGTTGGTTCATCTATAGTTGAGCGCTGCAGTAAGCGCTGAATAAGCGCAGGATTCAACCCCGTCATGATATCTTCCTGTGCTTGTGCGATTTCTTGCGGTGTCATCGCCGCCAATTTCTGTCTGTTTTCTTGGTCGATGCGCTGTCTCTCCGCCCGGTCAAACCCTTGCGACGGATTGTCATTTTGCTTTTCAGTTCCTTGTATGCCATCTTTCGCATTCTCTTCGGATACAGGTGCTTTTTTGTCGAGATTCCCGGCTCGCTGCTGTCTAAAGGCAGAATTGTTCCAGCGCCTCTTGTGTGAAGGGAAACCGGTAGACGAAGACGGCGCTGCAGGAAAGCGAACAGGCCCTTTCTCTTTCGAATCTCTCTCTACAATGTCTCCTATGAGGAGATTCGGATCCATATTGGTATCGAATGCTTGTTCTGAGCTAGGGGGAAGCTAGATGCTGTGGTCTCGATCGTCAGTCGGCGTTGCCGTCATGGCTAACAAACTTGGTGGTTGGCGACGTGGGGCAGCAGATAATATTATCTGCCCCTGCACTGTGGAGGCGATGTCGAGACACGTGAGCCGGCACATTCTTGGTACATTTGCACCATGCAGTAGACAGCAGAACAGAGTGAGCCCCAGCCGAAAAAAAATGTGTGTATATATGTGAGTAACAGAAAGAAAGGAAAAAGAAAAAAAATTCCCTGCGCCATGAGTATTACATCGTGTTTTCATCCAGTAGCCCGGGGTGGATTTGTTAGAGCACACAATACTCCGTGCGAACAAAATTTCTTCGTGCGCATCTCATCTAGCCTATCAACATTTCCTGCGGTGCAGAGTAAATTTTCTCTGTGGTATTGAATTTTTAAAATAGCTTTCGCGTATATACAAGCTTTCTATGAATAGAAGATTCGGTCAAGCCGCATGTTTGGGTAGTACTTACCTGGCATTCTTTGTAGAGCTACGGAGTACTTGTGTTGAATGCACGGGTACTTGGTTATGCAAGGGTACGGAGTAGGTCAGAGGAAACTGGGGCTTGGGGCTGCTCTGGCACAGCACAGCCACACCTGCATTAGCGTCGATCGGCGCCTTTTTCAATGTTGCCCAAGGCTTCCAGAACACCCTCAGATCTTGCAGGTCAGCGGGCCGCATGCCATCGTCTCTATTTATAGGGCTTGGGAAGCGAAGGCATAGAACTAGCCGCACACCACGCCTGTGCAGAGATCCGTGAAAAAAGGAATGTCAAATAAACATATATACACGCGTGTAAACCACGTTTTTACAGTCATTTGTCAATGCCCTCTAAGCTCGACGTCTCGGAGGTTTAGGCGCAGACCTAGTGCAAAGGTTTCTGTGTAACCCCGTACTTAGGTACTTAATACACCGTAGCATTGGGGCCTAGGGTAGCAACTTTAGAAGGCAAGGCGCTTCCTACAGTGGTACAGCAAGGGTTAACAGTTCGACGTTACTGCTAGGGACTACCTAACAGGTCAACGATGCCAAGTACGGTTCATGTACTTGGAGACCCCTTGGCGGTGGCTTTTTTTCTTCCATTCCCTTTTTTAAGCGGGGGCCTCTCGCGTAGTGTTGTAATACACATGTGATTTACTGGGGCGGGCCAGAGAATTCCAATCCTCGGGTGACCCTATTTAGCGACCATGTCAGGTTGGATCTGCCCAATTACTAACTGCCGGGCATGCAGCAAATTATACAACTGCACCTTTCTCCAGACGTCGTTTACAGGACACTGCAAGAGCACGCAGCATTGCGATGCTTGCCCGACCAAAACGCGAAAGGAAAATTTTGTTGCTGGCGGGACAGACAAAGATAGTCGCCTAATGGTCCGGGTGCGCGAGCCGCGCTTATCTGACACTTATTGGGGGCATCAAGCATTAAAACTAACGAGGGCCAGGTAAGACAAGGGGCACTCGTCCCGAGCAGAGGCGAGAAAACGCTCAAGTCTTGCGCAGCATGTGGCCGCAGCCGCAGCACCAAGAAGGTCAGTGTGGCCGCACAGCAGATAATTAGTCCAGAGCACTCGGCACTTGCGTACAATGCTCTGCACAATATCCTCCGTACTTGGTACAATAGAGCCCGATGGCAGACACCGAGCAGGGTGACACGGTGACAGGGGGAAGCTGGGGTGGCAGGATCTCTCGTTCATCAACCTCGGGGCCCGCTAAGCTGGAAACAGGCACGCCCCTTGCTCGAACCCCCCTCAGGTGTCATCGAGAACCTGACAAGCCAGCATTGAGCACAATTCATCGGCAGCGGCGCACCCTGTGATTGGCCAGTCTGTACAAGCCGACTTAAAACGGGTGAATAATCTTGCATGGGGGCCCCAAACCTGGCTTGAGCTTCTTTCTTCTTTACCTCTTTTTGTGTCTCCCCCCCACATGTGCCCTTTATTTATGATAAAGTTCCACGTTGACGAGCTGCACCGTTGAATCCGATTCAACCCAGTGCGCCAGGCTGCTTGTTTCTGCACTTTGTATGCTCCGGTGGCACTTGGGGGGTGGGATGGGCAGGCCAACTAGCGGCCCCCCTCCAGCAGCTTTTGTCCCCAGTATCAAGTCTGATATCAGCGAGTGGTGAGCCTGTGGAAGCATGAGCATACAGTGATAGATGTCTTGTCAAGTATGTCTGGTATGTCTGGTACTTGTGAGGCAAGTGAGCGCCCAAGTATACCTGCCTTTACACTTTACCGAGCCCCTCCCATGTCTGTACTCCGTACCGGCCCGCCCCCAGAGGTGTCCTGTATTGCCCATGTACATACATGTATGTTCAAATGTCTGGTCGGACCTGAGGCTCCCGGCCGTCTCCCAAGCCGCCAATCTTGGACGTGGCCTGGTGTTTTATCATTTCGCCTCTGGTTTGGTCTCATGGCTTTGCCAATGCACAGTTGACGCCTTTTTATTCTCTCGAGGCAAGCCCCGTCTCTCTCCACCCTTTGTCCACGCTCGACCTGTTCATCCAGTGGCCCCATTTACTTTTCTTTCTTGCTTTACTTTCCCATGCCCACGCCCCATAGGCCATCCCTCCGCTCCGGCCCCTTCGCCCGTCCTCCCTCACCCACTTGGCCCCCCTGTTGTTGTCGTTGTAGCTCTTGGAGATCCTTGGTTCTGGTGTTTCGTTTCTCGTCTAGTCAAGCCATGACTTGAGGCCGTCATTTGAGTTATTCTACCTGATACAGCCGTCGTGCCCCGGTTTTCCGTCCTTATAGCGCAGGTGGAATAAGAAATGTTGTTCGTTGTTCCGAAAGTTGTAGCCATCCCCAAATTCCAGCCCCATGCTCCTATCCTCCCATCGCCATCGCCGCCCCCCCCTCGAATTTTCTCTCCCCCTTTCCTTTCCACTTTGACTCCTTCACCATCCCCAACCGCCCACATCACCCAAATCCAACACGGCGCATCGTCAGATTGCATCGATTTGCCCGTGTCGCCGCATCCGTGCCATCGCCAGACCGTCATCATTTTGTGCAGCGCTCTCCGGGGCATACAGAGCCATAGCCAAGCTGTCTGTGTCGACGCATCTAGTGCATTTTTGCGCAGACAGAGCTGCCGGGCCGCCCGCCGTCGTTGCCCAACCCCTCCTGCGTGGTTCGTGAGGCTATTCGCACCTGGCACCTGGCCCTTGGCACCTCGCACCTCGCAGGAACAGCACCAGCCAGCACCAGCGGCAGCGGCAGCGGAAGTTTCAAGGCGTGTCTCCACCAGACGCTGCTGCTGCGCGCGGCGCACCCGCAGTCTATTTTTTTCGGCCACTCACGACGCTCGCCTGCCCGCGCTTCCCCCCAGCCAGTCAGCGCCCGCTCAATCTACCTCTTGCGAGTACAAGGTACTTTTTCGTGTTTCTGCCGACCGCCACACTGCACTGCGCGACAACTTGCATCCGAGTCCATCCAACCAGACATTAAATTCGACTTTGGGTCTCAGCACTGTCCAGTCATTCTTCTTCTGTCTGTTTGTGTTCCCAGCTAGAGTTCATGGCGATTTTCTTCTTCCTTGGCAGAGCCTGGGTCCTTTTACATCTTGTCTTGCTTGTTTCCGTCACCCAGCAATTCCATCTTTCAAGTCGGCCGAGTTCGATATAATCGTCTAATTTATTCGCTATTTTTCGACGACACATGCTTCGTCACCCAGCAACGACCGTTGGACGCTATAGACCGTCGGCCTTGTACAGAAACCAAACTCGGGCCCATCCTCCGTGCTGGGAAGCCGCCTTCCGGCATACGGTGTATCCTTGCTGCCAAGCGCATCAGTCGAGAGGCGCCGTCTCGAGCTTGTAGAAGCTCTGGCTTCGATATCCGACCCTCCGCCATTCCGCCATCAAACCCAATAGCCTCGTCGCCATGGACAAGGACCGAGAGCAGATTGTCGTGGGCAGCGACCAGTCTCCTGGCCAGCGTCAATTAACCTTCCAGTCATACCAGCAACCATCGCCAAGTGGCACCACGGCCAGTGGGCGCGCGCAGGCTCAGAAGCGGTACGAATATATCGATGGACAGTGGGTTCAGCTAACGGCAGCCGGCCTTCCGCGCAAGAAGCCTGGTCGGAAGCCTGGTTCTACAGTGAAACCCAAGACGACAGACGGCGCCGACCCGAGCAAAGTGCGCAAGCCTCGAAAGCCTCGCGACCCCAGCGCCCTTCCTATCCAGCGCAAGCGAAAAATTGCGCCCGCCTCGGATGCAGACGCAGACTCTGACGTCTCGAGAACTGCCTCAGGCCAGCATGGTGGCATATCATCGCCATCACAGCAGCATCAACTTCTGGGAGCCTCAGACCTTCGCGGATCGCCCAAGATGCCAAAGAGAGAGGGGTATCCTGGGTCGATGCAGAGCATTCTGAATGCTGACCCGCCATCCGCCTCAATACCCGTGCGCAGCAGCGGGCTTAGCTATGATCCAATTCGCGGCAATTATGACCCCGTACGCGAAACTATTACACCCCATAATGCAAATCCATACTCCTCGACTTCTGGTTCCCCCCGGGGCCCGGCGCAAGCGGCAAACCGATCTCCCTCGATAGCGAGTATAATAGAGCCACAAGCTCGAACGGCATCGGCAACCTCGCCGAGTATGTCACAGCATGGACACCCAACAGTTTCGGCTCATAGTCGGCTCCATGGCCAAGACTCGTCATCCATGCCGCCGTCGCCTTCCTACAGACCTACATCAATACTTGGTGCTCCCCCAACTGGAGTCGATTCGAAGAAAGAGAGCACTGTAGCAGCTATTCAACGACCTGTGGTAAACCAGGCCAACTTTACTACTATATCAAATGGCCCTATCCGAAGGTCCTCCCCCAAACTGAAGCCTGCTACGGGCGTGTCTACACCGAGAACGGATACTCTCGACGATTTCCAGGACAGCGAAGGGCGCTCCATTTTGGATTTTGGCAAGGCTCGACCCGGGGAGGAGGTCCAGGCTCCCACTATTGTCCTGACTATCCCCATCGGGGCTGGCGAAACAAACAAGTATGTCAACTTTATGCGATTAGCTGAAGAGCAGTATGGGTGGGATGCCCTTCACCCACGTCAGGCTGCAAATCGGGACCGTAAAGCCCGTATTGAGGCTGCCACGGCATCGCTTGAAAAGGCCGAGCTGGGTCGAGAGTCTGGGGATGAGATGTCACTGGACAACTCCGACGGCGAAGCTAGCAATCCGGAGAACGGAGGGACTAGTGGACCTGATGCGCAGGTTAAGCCCAAGAAAAAGAGAAACTTCAAGGAGGATCAATACGATGTCGAGGACGATTTTGTAGATGACTCGGAGCTGTTATGGGAGGCTCAAGCTGCAGCCAGTAGGGATGGCTTCTTTGTCTACTCTGGGCCTCTTGTGCCTGAGGTAGAAAAACCGGCAATGTATGTCTTTATTTCGTCATTCTTGATGTGGCTGTGCCAGAACTAACAGAGTATTAATAGTACTCACGAACGACCCAAGCGTGGCCGAGGCAGCAGAGGTGCCCGAGGCAGTAGAGGCTCAACTAGAGGCGGCACAGGTACCGGTCGGGGTGGTGGTCCTGGTTCTCGTGGTGGTGCCGTCACCAGAAAGCCTCGCATCACCAAAGCTGAGAGGCTGCAGCGCGAGCGAGAAAAGGCCGAGAGAGAAAGCATGGCACAAATCAACAAGACACCGACCAACGGATACGTTCTCCAACCCTCTACGCCCGCGTTTTCTGTTAGTGAACTGGGTGCTTAGGCAAGCCCACAGTACTTCGCAGCTTGCGCAGAGGTTACTCGGCGATTTGAGCAGCATAGTCTGCAGGATGCCTCTGGAGATGTCTCTCGGCACCCTGCGCTGTCCTCGTTGCTGCACTATGCGACGTCTCGTCGGCAGCAGCCATCCCTGCCTTGGTTCTTGCACTCTTTACATTGATGTCCCTCTAAACATTTGTGTATCGCCCTTGTTTCATTTGCTCTATTCATGTATTAATGCGCTATTTGCAACTCGTACGGGAGTCATGCGGGCCACAGGAACGGCCTTATAGTTTCAGTTTTCGAGGACGGATTTCGCGGTCGTCGTTCATGGGATGTCAGGTCGACTTGCGGACTGGTTTTTATGGGGCCGAGAATTCGATTACCAACGCAATAATGCTGCCAGGGGCTGTTCTCCATTCCACGACGATGGATGCATTGGCCAATTTTGCATGGAGTTTGGAGTGGTTCGTCATCTTTTTGTTGGGAATTTTCCTATTTCATCCAGGCGTGTCTAACTGGCAGGCTTGTGTGTGAGGGAGTGGGAACATTGTGATGGTGGGATTTCACCCCCAGTGTACGGTATACCAGCGGATAAAGCAATCCTGCACCTACAGCAACGGGGCTTGCTCTGTCTAAATAGCCTGTATGTGTAAATAATACACATGAATCTTGTCCGAGACTTCATCCGGGATGCGCTTTTTATTGCCCAGTGACATAGTCACTAGAGTCGCATCTATAAAATGCAGGGTCGCCTGCCGCTCCCGGAGTACCCCTTCTACCGATTTTGCTTCATGATACGCTATGATCTCTGCTCATTGAATTCGCTTTTGAAGTGGTAGGTACCTACGCAAAATATAACTGCTTGATACCGACCAAGCCCTTTTACAATTAATAACCGGATGGCTGTGTCGGCGCGCCCGCCTTCCTACAATTCTGACTCCCTCCTCTCACGATTCCCCTCGTCCCCATCAGACCTCGTAAATTTTTATGATTTGCAAAACGACAACCCTTATGCCAGGCTAAATTCAGGAATCTCGCCCATTTCGTTCTTCTGCTCCGCACCAACCTTGAACGTGGCGCGCCATCTCAGCTTGACTGAGTCTACCTTTTGTTCTCGGTTGCCGGCGTGCCAAATGTCTACTTCTTGGGTGACGCCGCGACTCTGCTTGGGCGCAAGATCACGGCCAGTCTGTGGTTTGAGTTGTAGCTCGTATCCCTGGCGTGGAGTTAGCTTAGTTGAATATTTTTTTTTTACCTTTACTTTCCGCGAGTACTAGGGGCTTCGTTCGACTGGCTTCTACTAACCTTGGTAACTGCCAGCTGAAAATGCAGTTCGGTGATGGGCTGGGCAGAGTTGTTTGAGAAGGCAAAAGTTATGTGGATTGAGTTGCTAGCGCTAGTGGCACGGCCTGCCAGGAAATCCGTCCGCAATAGACCCTGATTGATGGTTCCCTTGTGCTCCTTGGGCTTGTTAGGCGCTGCTGGAGGAAGCGATGATGAGAAGTTCCACTCGTCGTCGTCATTAGAGACAGCAGCGGGTTGAGGTGGCGGAGTTGGGGCGTTTATTAATGCTGACGCGACTCCTACCGCAGCAAAAGGATCCGAGGCTGACTGATATGAAGGGGGTTTGGGTTGTTGCTGAACTGCAGGTTGCGGGGTGCCGGGTTGTGAGACTGCAGGAGATGTGAATGAGGCAAATTGGGAGAAGGAAGGCGTCTGGTTAGAGACATTTCCGCTGGCGCTATTGTCCTGTGTCATGGAAGATAACAAAGCTGGACCAGGAATATCTATGAGGCGCAATGTTAGCCTTTGAGCGTTTGACAGGAGACTTCGCTCCAAGGAGAAAAAAGTACATGAACACTGTACTTACTTTGATTGGCTCCAAAGCCAAGGACAATGTTGCCTCCCTGGCCGAAATTGCCTGATGAGCTGCCAATATCCAACCCTAACAAGTCATTCTCCAAGCCACTGGCCTGCGAGGTGCTACCCGCAGGTGCGTTGTTGTTTTGGTTGTTTCCAATGCCATTACCGTCGTTTGCTGCGTCGGCATCGAAGTCTATCAAAGATAATTCGTTCGCTGCGTTGCCAGAGCTTGATGGCGTCTTGGCCGCACCCGAGGGGATAAGAGACCCCGCTGCAACTTTAGCCGCGCCCTCTAGATCCCCCTTCTTCATCAGCTTGTACCTTTCGACAGTGCGGCGAATGCTATCCTTAATCTCAAGTAACCGAGCAACGGCGTCATGGTCGTCCGATTCCTCTTCGCACATCTTCTGGATCTTGGGCTGTGCGCTCTGCAATGCCGAGGCCAGTTCGCTGAACACGTCGCCTTCGGACATTTCATCGCCGGGCCTGAACGCTTCTAGACGCTCTTCAAGCAACCTGGCTTTGGCTTGGATCTTGGCTACTTCTTCCGCCGCTTTGGCGCGGTAGTCGGTCTTGGATCGGGTATCGTAACCGGCCATTACCTTCATGAGGCGATTGGCTTCTCGAAGATCTTCCGGAGTGCCACGTCGAATAAGCTCCTGAAGCTTCGCGGACTGGGCCTCTTTTTCCTCCTCTTCCATCTCTTCAGCCGACTTGAGATTCTGCGCATGCATCAGTACTGGGCAAGGCTCTTAACCCAACAAGAACTTTGGCGGCCACGAGGTCGCGCTATCAACTTACATCACTGGGATTCAAAACTGCGGCATCTTCGTGTCGAACTTCGGGGAACATGTAGCCCTTGTAGCTCAGGAGGCGATGCATGTCCCTAATGAAGCCCAGGTCTTCTTTGTAGCGGCTCGTCTCGCATATGGTAACGCGCCATTCCTCAATGGCCTCGAGAATCTTGGCCTGAACCCTAGTCGGGCGCATAGGCGGGCGCTCGGGGAACCTGCGAACGAGCTCGTTCAGAAACTCTTTAGTGCTGATCTGTAGATGGAAAGGGTAGCCGCAGTTCTTGACGCAGATATCGAGCAGGCTGAGAGCAAGCAGCGCAACGTTTGCGTTTCGATGGTTGATGTAGCTGACAATCATGGTGGCGGCCTCACGCGGGGCGGACCCTTTCTTGCTATTGATCAAATCGGCAATCTCCAGACTCAAAGCCAGGTTCGGCTCATAGTTTTCGGGACTGCAGGCACCTTGGATGAAGCGCTGGAGCTGGGAGGGGGCATGGCCGAACTCGCTCCAGCGGTCCCGGGCGGCCGCCCTTGCAGAAGCAGCCTCCATTGTGGCCTACGATGTCGAAGAATAGAAGGTATCGAGATTCGTATACGGAGGAAGCACGGGAGACGGACGCGGCTGTAGAGACAGGCAGAAGGTTCGTCGTAGGCTTGGGTACGCCGGTGGAGAGGCGGAGTCTGACCTGAGGGGAAGGGAACTGGCTGTTCGGCGTCGTATGCCGAGCAAGACCGGGACAAGTGTGATGGGATAGACTAATGCGTCGGCCGGTCCGTTAAGAAAAGTCCCTCATGGCTGCTGCCAAAAGGTCTTGAAGTGCGGAAGCGCTGAGCACGTGAAGACAAGTTGGCAGATTATTGAAGAGAAAAGGACAAGCAAGACTCAACGGGCGATGAAGTATGCGGTATGGGACGGTGGAGATGACTTGGGCCTTGGAGGGGGTGCCAAGCAATGAAGGTCCAGCCACACGCAACTGTCTTGCACGCCACACTTGCATCCGTCCGTCGCACATGGAGAATATTAACGTGGGAAGTACGTACTGGGTAGGTACCTCAGGAGCTCCCATGTACATGTCAACTGGCTAGCCAGGGTGCTGGTACTTCTCCCTGCCCCACCCCCACCAAGACGTCGCCATATATATTTTTTTACCCCATCCCAATATCGGTCCGTTGATGTGCGAACTGCTACGAAGAGCATTGAGCCATAGCGGTCTAGAAATACCCATTTTCCCCTACGAAACACGCGCCATGGTTCGTCACAAGAAGGATTTTGCTGCCAGAGGCAAAAAGAGCGGCCGTGGTGGTGGCCATGGAGGTGGCGGCTCGAGACAGCCCCGCCATCAAGATTGCAACCAAGGCCAGCAGCCAGCACGCCCAGCTTTCAAGGCAGCGTGCTGGGATCTGGGCCATTGTGACCCCAAACGATGCTCAGGGAAGAAACTCATGAAGTTGGGAATGATGCGCGATCTTCACATGGGCCAGAGACACAATGGGGTCATCATCACCCCCAACGGCCGACAAGTCGTCTCCCCCGCTGATCGAGAGCTCATGGACCAGTACGGCGCCGCTGTTGTCGAGTGCTCCTGGGCCCGTACGCAAGAGGTTCAGTGGAGCAAGGTTGGCGGAAAATGCGAAAGGTTGCTGCCTTACCTCGTCGCTGCGAATACTGTCAATTACGGAAAGCCGTGGAGACTGAATTGCGTCGAGGCCCTCGCCGCCGCCTTTTACATCTGCGGACATGCCGACTGGGCGGAGCAGATTCTGGCTCCATTTTCGTACGGAGAGTCTTTCTTGCATATCAACGCGAGCATTCTCAAACGATATGCAGCTTGCCAGGATGCTGCCGAAGTGAAAAAGACAGAGGCGGAATGGATGGAGAGGTTAGAGCGGGAATACGCAGAGAGCAGAGAACAAGGCCATGACGACATGTGGACGACCGGCAATACTAACCGCCTGGCAATGCCTCCCTCTGACGATGACGATGATGATGACGACGACGACGAAGAGGGCGACAGTGACGCAAGGTCAGATGGCCACGGTAGTGTGGATGGCATATATCTGGGCAAGAAGCCGTTAGATCCCAAACCTGGCGAGATTCCTGCAAATATACCAGATGAGCACGCCAGAAGAGACAAAGACCCATTTGACATTACAGACGACAGCGAAGATGGCGATGCCGCCATGGAAGAAATCCGGCGAAAGGTCCTGGCCTCCAAAACCTTTAGCAATCCAAATCCCGAATTGGAACAAGAGAAGAAGAAGCCTGCGTCAATACCGCGACCTCAGCAACGGCATCGGTACCAAGTCGACCTTGATATGCAGCCCGACTCGGATAACGAGAGGAGCGGCGACAACCAAGATGACAGTGATGCTGCCGAGGATGACGACGAGTTTGATAATATTATTGAAGCTACGCCCGTCACTGACAGGATTGGTCTGGCGAAGCTCGAGAAGGAGCGTAGACAGGCAACGACAACTACCAAGACATTTTCGTCGACTTCTGTCTCTGCGCCGAGCAGGTGGTAGAATGCGGCTGTGGATTAAATATAATTTTCATTGAACGTTTAGTTCCATCCTTGCCCACACAAACAACCGGTGCAACCAAGTGCTTGTGACGGGTGAAGACCTTGGCGAGTTAACAGTCTCCTCTTGTATTGCATGTGTTGAGAGAAGCGACGTATATGGTACATGAAGTTTGTCTAAGAATCCTCAACCCCCTGGGGCTAGTTATACATGACGAATATTCTTCTAGTATTACAAAAATAGGCAAATGGGTTTTGTGCCGCCGACCATCTTCCGGGCCCCGATATGGCCTTTTACGTATCCGTCTTTTCCAATTACAATATCCGCCTCTCCCTGACTTCCTCATATGTTTGAATCTGATCGTCGACTTGAAAGTCTTCAAAGCCTTCCAGGCCAATGCCGCACTCTGTGCCCTTGCCCATTTCCATGACATCTTTCTTGACGTGCTTCAGGGTATCGATGCTACCTGTGAACAAAGTTGGTTGATTAGCTCTAATCGCCAAAGATATAAGACTATTACTTTTCAAGAAGGAGGCGAAAGCAGTAACAACTAAGAAAAAAAAAACGTACCATCAAAGATAACCTTGCCCTTCCGAAGCACCTTGACCAAGGAAGATTTCTTGATGGACCCGTTGCGTACTCTACACCCGGCGATATTCTTAAAAACTCTCTTCTTCAAATTAATAGGAAAGACCTGAAGGATGTCCGCCTCCCCGCTGACACGGTAGGTGATGTTCACGGGTAGAAGCTCCGAAAGGACTGCTTTGGCATCGTCTACTACATGGTAGATGACATTGTGGTCGAGAATTTTGACCTTGGCCTCTTCTGCACGCTGCTTGATATGGGGCAAGATGGGAACGTTGAAGTTGATAATGACGCTCTTTGAAGCCGCTGCGTGGTCGATATCGTACTCTGATATCTGGCCGGCTGCCGATCGAAGAATCTTGGGTCGTACCTCATTATTGCCCAGTTCCAGGACGCTGCCACAGACGGCCTCTACTGAGCCAACGACATCGGCTCTTACGGTGAAGTTTTGATACAAGATACCAGGCTCAGAGCCGGCATTGACGTCTCCATCTTCTTCTGCTTTGTCTTCAGCAGCAGCCTTTTCTCGCTGTCGTTGTTCCTGCTCAGCCAATTGGACGGAGCTCTGCTCACGTTCGGCCATTTCGAGCCGGTACTGGACGGCCGTCTTTGCCTTGCCTTCGTCAGGTGCCTGCAGTACCTGTTCTCCGGCGTCTGGCAATTCTCGCCACCCCAATACTTCAACAGGAGTGCCTGGGGCTGCTTCCACTACCTCGGCCCCAGCTTCGTTACGGAGAACTCGGACCCTGGCCCAGGTTTTCCCGGCAACAATGAAGTCTCCTGGTCGAAGAGTTCCGCGTTTAACCAGCACCGTTGCAGCCTTGCCATTTTGTTTTACACTGGATTCTAGAATCCAGCCTTCCGCCATGTCGTCTGTCTCGGCACGGACGTCGAGGATCTCTGAAAGCGTGATGATGCTCTCTTCCAAGTCGGGCATGCCCTGACCGGTTTTGCCACTTACACAAACAACTTGGACGTCGCCCCCGTAATCCTCGATTTCGACGCCATGTCGAGCAAGGTCTGCCTTAACTTGATCAATCCGAGCATCTTCTTTGTCAACCTTGTTGATCGCCACGATGATGGGCACCTTTGCAGACGTGGCGTGCTTCAGGGCTTCAATGGTCTGGGGCATGACGCTGTCGTCTGCTGCGACTACCAAGACGACAATATCAGTGACGTTGGCCCCGCGCTGACGCATGGAGAGAAAAGCTGCGTGTCCTGGCGTGTCCAAAAAAGTGATGTGCTTGCCCGTAGACATCTTCACAACAAAGGCACCGATGTGTTGTGTGATGCCGCCATGCTCTTGAGCAGCAACTGATGATTTTCGTAGCCAGTCCAATAGCGTTGTCTTCCCGTGGTCAACATGGCCCATGATGGTGACTACCGGGGGACGGCTGGGGAGTGAGGATACGTCATCCGGAATTGGTCGAGGCTTCAGATCGCGTTGAGAACCAGTGTCGACAGTGGGATCAAAGCCATATTCCATGGAGATGAGCGCTGCGGTTTCACCTGTCATGATTGTATCGGGTGTCACGTTCTCGAAGCCCATCTCCTCCATATCAACCAAGAACTGATCCGGTCGTTGCTTCAGAGCCTGCGCCAAATTTGACACACTGATATACTCGGGAAGAAAGATTGGCATGGCATGATTTTCCCCATGAAGCTCTCTCTCCTTTTGTGCCTCCTTCTCAGCTTTTCGGCGCTGTTTTTGTTCCCAGCGACGCGACGACTGGTCATCCCAGTCCTCGTCTAATTCTACGCGGCGACCCCTGGCGAATTTTCTGGACTTCTTCGTTCGTCGATCGTCAGAGGCTGGTTCGTCTTCAATATCAAATCTTGATTTTCTCCTCTCCCTTTCCCGAACCTTGTCATGGACTTGATGGAGTGAAGCTGTGCTTTGGTTGTGCCCTGACGCATCTTCATCCTTGCTTGGTGCTTTGTCGATGGTTCTTTTGCTCAAGCTGTCTGCTGCAACAGATTCTCGTCGGCCTTTGCCTTTGCCCTCTCTGAACCTGGCTACTCTCGTATCCAGCTCTCCCCAGAAGTCCGGCTCCGATGCAATTACTTCAGGTCCGTCCTTGGATGTAGCAGTTGCACCACTAGTATTGGCAGTTTTCTGTCTCTGATGCGACCTTGGCTTTGCTCGGGCTGATCTTGTGATTTCTGACCAGGTAGTGGAGTCATTACCATGACTGTGGCCGTGAGTCGGAATCTGTTGCTTACGGTGGCTAAAGGAGCCCCATCCGATTTGCTTCGGCGCACCGCCCGCAGGATGCTTTGAGGGCTCTGGAGTAGGAGCTCTGCGATGAGCTGTCTGAGATGTAGTGGCAGACGGATTGGAGGGGTGGGTGACCATTGGGGTCTCTGACGCAAATCTCGTCGTTTGGCTAGCGCTTCCCTGCTGACCGGCCGCAGACCAAGACTTTGGCGTCGGCGGCGTTTTAGGTTCTCGCATCGATTTGAATACATCGGCGAGGACAGACTTTGACTTTGTGACTTGTGCTTGGTGGGCATCGTGGGTTCGGCTCCGGATTCTTGGCTGCGTGGGGGGCGAGCCGACCTTGTCCAACGCCCGATTCGCTGCGTCGTTGTTTGTATTTGACTTGGTTTTAGCTACTTTCATACGACTCCTTGCCTCTAGCTCATGGGGAAGAAGGCTTCCACCTGGCGAGCTGTTGCTATCCAGCGTCCTTGGGGTTGTGTTGGCCGCAAACGCACCCCAGGAGCCCGCGAAGCCTCCGGGAAACCCTCCATTGGAAGGCGCACTTCCACCAGTATTTGAATTATGCCGCGCGGAAGTCGTACAGGGACCCTGAGTAGACCACAGTGCTTGCTGGGTTTGCGATGTGGTCGACGACAACTGGACTCGGCAGTATGTACAAGCGAACGGATGGCCGCGGCCCTGGTGGTTGGCACGAAGATATATTAGCTATTGCACGTAGCGTATGGTGGATTGAGATGCTAGGATGAGGTTACCTTCCAGGCACGGGCTCTAAGCATCGCCGTTTTACAGACAAGACAGGCGAGCGGCGACTTGCCTGAATCATTTACTTCTGCGCGGCAAGCTACAAGGAAGCTTTTAAAGGAAGATGAACGATGGAGAGGCAGAGTGGAGCAGGGAATCTGGGAAGGGCCCTTCGGGAGCAGGGATTGTCCGTCAAGCTCACAGTCTGCTCGGGAACATCAGTAGCCAATGGAGGAGGCTCCAATTTGAAATCATCTACTCTCACGTCGATAATTTGCTCGCTCACCGCAAAAATGCGCCGTCCATAGCGTGGAGCACTCGGTTGCGGGTTGAGTTCATACATGATACGTGAATGCTTTCTAAAGTTGACTGGAAGTTGACGGTTGACGTGGGGCAGATTCGGCTGGCTGACGTTGAGCTCCAGCCGGGCAAAATCCAGACTCACTTCTTTGCCAACCACCAAGGCAAAACACATTATATTCCCTCCCCAGCGCGGCTCCCATTGCCTTGAGGGCGCTGAGTCTCTGACACCATGGCACCTACAAAACGGGCCGGAAAGGCCAAGCCTCCCAAGTCAAGCGGTGCCAACGGACTGCCGCCGGCTCCCTTCAAACAACCCCCCGACGTTCTCAACCCGTTTATTCAGGGCCTTTCTGAGAAGCATGTATACATTACGCACATCGACTCGAAGCCCGCTGCTTTCAAGCGCAAAATATTTCTGGTTCCAGTTGCCATGAACATTGCCGTGTCATTGCTCTTCGTTTGGCGCATGTACGCCATCTTGCCTTGGTACTGGAAGATTGTGCAGTCTGGCTTTGGCTGGCCCAACGAGACCACGTTTCCCATTGCAGGGTCTTCGTGGCAAGATTTTGCTTGGGAGGTGGTGAAGCGCGGTGTCACCATGTTTGTTGATTTTGTCCTGTTTGTATTTGTCTGGCCTTGGCCCGTGGAATTCGCCGCCGGTCAGGCTCACGGCAATCCCATGCTCTGGAGGCGCAAGGTCGGGTTTCAGGACAAGGAGATTTACGTGCGGCGCAGTCGCGACTGGGATCGGGTTCTGGGAGATATTTTCAAGGACGACGACTCCAAGAGGATTTTGCTGGCCTATGTCAATGCCGCCACATCGCCAATCTTGCAGGAGCAAAAGACGGGCTACCTGCTAATGAACGGCCAGTGGGATCTCGATTGGGCTTCCATGGTCCACGCCCACGCCTTGGTCGACCATAAGGTTGCGGCCATGGAGGCATTCAGGACTGTTGTGCTGCTACATCACAAGGACTTTGGGTGGCTCTGCTACGACATGAAGGCTGGCATCGCCGCGGATGAAGACGACAAACGCAGACAAGTTTTTGCTTTTCGAAACGCGCTCACCTCCATGGGCAAGGAAGACTTGTTTTATCGGTGGGTGGAGATGGTTCAGTTTGATGCCACCCAGCCCGGCGGCTTTGGCCCC